GGACTGCGCTTACCAGTAAAAACCGGCTTGCACTTCTGTGCTGTCTCCTAGGATTACAGATCCACTCCACATCCACAATCGAGTATCACTAGCACTTCTTGCTCATTACTAAGAGCTTACATCAGGGCGGAGTCGACCCACGCTCGATCCTCAACTGCGGCTCTAGCCTCTGAAAGCTCCTTCACTGCACCACGGCGTCCGCGAGGGGCCTTTTGTTCCCCTGACGTGCTTTCATTACTCAACAAGCACTTTGATTTTGTTGGCGTCAGTCTCGTTGCTCTGTTCTTTGACGTTTTGCGTACGGTTGCAATTCCTGATTATATAGGCCAATTTTTCAGCAACAGAAGTAGGTGCGTTGTTGTGGGGTTGTCTGAGCCTGCTCAAGAATGCAATGACTCCTCTGTAATTCTTTTCTCGTTCAGTGTAGACTGTGGGTTGGGGTCACTTGACCCAGCACCCAAACCCACAGGTTCTAACCTTTGATTTCGTTCTTCCTCCTCAGCCGAAATTGCACGGGTATCACTCATTCGCTCTCGCAACCTCGAGTTATCAATCACATGTGAAGCTTTTACTGGCTGGCTGTTTAATTGCTGAGTCACTGCCCAACGTGTTACCGCATGAGATGACACTTTAAGGAGACTCAAGATAAGCCACTGGTGAAGCAGCAATTCGTCTACGTTGTGGCTTTTGAGAGCCAGTTCTACGTTTCGATATGCCAAGCTGTTAATAGAATCTATCGCTGCAGCCTTTACACTTCTCCCAAACCTTGTTGTTGAACTGACCTTGGCATTACTCGATGAGTCAGCGCGTGAATTGGAGGCTTGATAAACAGAAGTTCCTGCAGGAGGACCCACTTACTGTACGTAAATAGAGCCACCATAGAATATTTTTTCCTTCAAAAGGCACGCCGCAAGGATTGCTTGTTTCCCTTCATATGTAGTGTATAAGCAAGGTGTACCTAATTGGTTAATTAAACCTTCGAGTCGTTGACCATTCCCACGGCCTTCATACGTTCTTGGTTACTGTAGTCTCATAGACGCATCCATGAACAGCCTGTCGGCTGGCAAGTCATGCTGATATAGTGGCTGTATAGCTACCGAGCTCACCTCAGCTTTCAGGCCGCGTTCGTCGCCCCAACAAGCGTTATGCTATCGTCTACTTTCATCGCCAAAGGGTTTTTACCAGCCTGTTGCCAAAGACGATTGGAATACTCAATTATCAAGTGGCTTGATCGAAACAAGGCAGCTGTTGCAAATACAGCTGGCTTCCCAATGCATCCACAGCGAGTGGATGTACGAGAAGGAGCTGCATTGCACCATACTTTGCTGTCAACTGTCACGATCCATTGAAGGTATTCATAAGGAGACTCTTAGCTCCAGGCTCTGTACAAACCAAAAAGAGGGTCACTCAGCGTTTCTCAATAGAATTTCTGCTATTCCCTACCCACGCCTCTGGGAGTTCCGACATGAAGAGAGTGGGAAAGCCAGCGTGCGCGCAGCTGCACCCTCTACACCCTCCCCGTCTTCAAAGATAGCTGTACCTGGTGCACATGCACACAACACTGCGTCATGTTGTAGTTAGTTTAGTGTATACTGCATTTAACAAGATATACGAAAAGATGAACCAGTTATTCAACTTTTTACCGCCTCTTAGTGTACTCAAAAGTGTATAAGTGTAACTCTCCCCGCTGTATTTGATTTATATCGCTAGTCGACTTGCATGCTACTGCCCCTTCTTCTTAGTAATTGTGCTTTCCCAGCGCAGCTTCTGCTTAAAATGGCAACCTTCGTCTTTATGTACTGCTTTAAAAGTTGCCAGCTATTCATGTAATGTCTGTATCTACACTGTGACCTATGCAGAGTCACTCTCGTGCATGTTATCCCTACAGCCTTCCATGTGCCTCTCCTCTAATGGGGATTTGAAGTCGGCTATTCGACATGAACCAACTGTATTTGCATGCACTCATTGTAAGTCTAGGCTCAGCAGCACTGCCGAAGTACTGTGTAAGCTCTATATCCTTTGTACAAAGAATTTACCTCGTCTTTTCCTGTAGCACAAGGCTAGCACATTTCAGCGCTCCGACGACAGCGCAGCACGCCGCCGCGGTCGTATTGCTTTCGCCCGTTGTTCGTTGCTGGTTAGAGTGTTCATCAATGTCACCGTCAATTTTCTTGAACGAGCTGAAGCACACTTTGGTTTTTCCATTTGCACTGTTTTTCGCGTTTCTACCTGCCTGGAGAGTGGCAATAGTGCGGACCTTCTTTCACTGTCCTACACGCAGTTGGTATCGAGGAACAGGTTGGGAACAGTGAAATGACGAGAAGGGGGTTAAAGAAGTAGGTGAACTAAGCTACATTCGCACCTGTATACTGCAATAGCAATATTAACTGAGAATTGGTAAAGGTTCACTCTTAGGTTCGTCAGTTCGCATCTTTCCTTTCTGGAGTAGTGTTAGCTCGATAAAAGCAGGCGCAGTGTTGTGCGTGTTTGATCAAGATGCGATGTGCATCTAGCAGTGAATCGGCGGAGTGCTTAGGCAGTGCAGCCATCCGCATTCCAGATGTCCCTCAGTCATGTTGAGGAATTTAACGGGCGCGGGAATGGGAATGCAAGCTTTTAGGAGCACTCTTTACCTTTCCATCAATGTATATAGAGTCTAAACTCAAGGCTCTTTATACATAGGTCTTGAATGGAGCCTTCTACTTAAGTTTCCTAGCTGTGGAAGGAGGTTTCTGCGCTGCCACACCCTTAAAGCCTCCCGATCATTCACAGCTAGTTTCACGTTACAGTGAGCGCACTGGCTCACGCCATTGGTTCGGCCATACTACAATAAACAAGGTGAGAGCAGCCAAATCAAATAGTGGATTGTTTTCCAATCCTTAATCAAACATAACCAGTTTAGTATAATGGAAATAAGTACAGCTGAACCCGCGACAAGGATATTTCTTGTTTTGATATGATAAATGCATTGTACTCTATTCGCTGCAGAGGCGCCCTGTGTATACTGCGAAAATGAACTCGTTATCCCTGTGCGGGAAGTTGCTGTGTGCAGCTAGGTGTGAAGGCTCCAAGAGCACAGACGACACAGCAAAGCGCAATATCAGTACCATAACTTCCCTCTTGCTGAAACCCCTTAAGGTGACCGGAAAAAGTAGGGCGCATTCCCTTGTAAATAGCAACTGAATGACGCGCTCTTTCGATTGTGTACAGCACGGGTCAGCAAATTTTATATGAACCCGTAGAAGGTGGGCTACATTCAGCGTTTCTGTTATGGTTAACAGCGTATTTTCATGCAACACAAACCTGCCTCGCATGCTTCTACGTACTGTCTATATCCTGCGGTTTCTTAAAACCCCAAGAGGTCCGCTTCATCTATGGAGTTCCCTTCTATCAGGGCGTACTGGCTTATTTCTGGTACATCGTTTCCCGTGAGTATGGCTGGGTTATGCTGCTGAAGGAGCGGCTTCAACTGGAACTGGCAGGGGTCCTTCTGCTCCTCCTGCTTTTCGAATCTCAGTGAACCCTGGTTAATGCAAATAAACTGGTTACATTGTCTTCTGCCGATGGGTAAAGCTGCTCCGTGGTTTCTTAAGGCGCAACGGGTCCTGTGTGGTAGCGTTTTCTGGTCCCGCCAGCATTTCATGTCTGTACGAGGAACTTCGCCCCTATTTTCACGAAAAACGGATCAAATGAATAATGGTAGTGCACTTCACGGCCAAAGAGGGATAAGAGAAGTGGAGAGAAGGAGAAGGAAAAATTCACTGGTCCGGCCTGTATGACATTCGCGGCAACAGCAGCAGCAAATCGTAGCCGTAGGGAGGCCTCCCTACAGCTGGTTGTATTGGTGACTTTCTCTTCACATTCTTCTTCGTTCAAATATAAGATATGACCTGTCCTTTTTTGGAACATTTCGTTTTTCCTGGGGAAAGCCAGCAGTTTCAGTCAAGGCCTCACTCCTGTCCAGCTGCAGACATAGAGGGACGCCTTAGCTCGGTTCTGTAGTGCCTTGCTTTTCTAAAAGAGAGAAGCTGCTTATCTTCTGTGATTCTTCTTCTTGCGCTACTCATTTGTAGCTACTTTGATCTGAAAGGGGGCAAGTAACACTGGAGAGACCGCAGGCCGTACTACAGTGGTGGTTGGCTGCACTGTGCCCTGCCCAGATTCTGCTGGTGCCATCTTGGGTAATTCACGGGTATGGGTGAAAGAGGCTCCAAAAGGCATAGATTCTGGATTAAAGTCTGAAGGCGTCCGTGAGAGAACTAAAGTAAAGACCTCGCATCGCCCAGCTATTAGCTGAGCCCTCCGGTGTCGGCGGGGAAGGGAAGGCAGCAGCTTTCTTTATGCTCATGTAACTGGGTTCCAGTTCGCCAATATGGGGGCAATTAACTCGTGCTGCTCAGTGGAGGACACTGAGGACCGGCAGGTCATGAAGGAACCAGCTCCAACTGCCAAAGAACGATCACAAACATCATCAAAGCACCGCAAAGACAAAGAGCGCAAGGAACCGGAGCAGAATGAATCAACGGAACGCAAGGAACCTAAAGAGGAAAAAAATCGGAAAAAACGGCAAGCACCGCCGCCAGAGCCTGGTGCGTTGCTCACGAAATCATCCGCGAATAGGTCCCGATTGCTTGATTATCCGGATTCCCCGCAGCCTCATGGCATGTTAATGGCTATATAAATATTGACATCCTGAATTGTTTGCATACCTCAGGGCTGGGGAGGACTGTATCACGCCAGTACGTATGCTCTGTTTTTTGTTTCAGCAATCGAAGTTTCTCAGCAGGAAATCAAAGATATGCAAACCAAACTTCATTCTGGAATGTCGATTACAGTCCTTTTAAAGGATGGAACAAAGCTGTCGTGTACTATTCACCTCAATCTATCAGACAACTCGCTCAGCATTTCTTGTGAAGACAAGGTAACCAAACACGTCGCAGCGTTCATTCGCCTTCCGCTTAATTAAAAAAAAAGCTTTAGTCCTTGTTCCTGTCTCATGCTGGGCTTTATTCATGAGTAAATTACCTTATACTCTACAGTTATCTGCACTTTCACGCATCACAAAAATGAAAGGTTTTAGTTCTCGTTCACTCTGGAGTTTTGCACTGCAGGTTCGCGTGATTCCATTGAGCGACGTGAAGGCATTGCTGCACACGGCTGATCAGCTGAAACGCGTTGAGACGCAGGCTGATCTGGTAGGCGATTCGAACTGCGTGGCACTGCATCTTCTGGAGTCTGGTAACTGTATTCCTCTTCGTTTTGAGGAGGCTAGGCAAAAGCACTCATTTGTCGAGATGCTGAAGCAATTAAAGTCCGAGTGAACTCAAGTGCGTAGCCCAAACCGGATGCATCGCATGAATGAAGAAAACTGTCACACTTACTTTTCGATGTTATCTATGTTTTTGCGGACCGTCGCTGAGGCGGCGGGTGCCGCATCACTAGCGGCCGAAGAAAATCCTTATTGAGCCTTGGCCAGGATTTGCTGCCCTTGGGCTGCCAGACATGCTGGTCTACCAGCTCCCAGTTCCTAGATTTGTTTTCGTGTTAACTGGCGAATTTATGTCAGTGTCTAATTCTAGCTATCGTGCTACAACCCGTAGTGCAGCGAAATGCAAAAGCGCGTCTTGTTTGCTGTTGGCATATTTACGGAAAAGCACAGCTGCAGAAATAGTGACTGAGGCCAGTAGCTTGACAAGCTCTTAAAGAGCGCTGCCTCTGCTTAGCAATAAAAGATGCGGCCACAACGCCAATCCTGGAGACAGATGGCGCAGGAAAATCGATTGCCCAGGGTCCGTCGTTCCGTCGGGTTCAGACGAATGTGCCCCTTCTAGGGTGGTAAAATGTCCATTTCGAACGAATCATGAACTGTAGGATTGTAGATGCCTACACAGTACAATGTGCGACAAGTCCCCCGTGTGCAGCGAAATGGGTCTAGGGCACCTGAGAGAGCGCTGGCTGCTTCTGTGCTGCAAAACAAGGTAGTGGCGTCGAACCCAATTGCGACCTATTTCCATGCATCTAAACTGTGTTCCCTGGTGGTAAATGAATCATAAGAAATCGCCCTACTCGCCAGTAAGAGCCAAACATTAGTCACCACCAGCCCCGCAGTTATTGGAACGGGTGTAGAAGCACTTCGAAACTTTCTAGTACAAAAGCTACTGCTAATCAAGAATTAGTCAAGGAGTTAACTCGGTGCGTCTGTTCGTGTATTATATCTATTGCAGAGTACAGTCCGCTCAACAGAACATGTTGCAGTGTTGCGTGTGTGCGTGCTAGATGCAATCAGCTGTGAAAACTGGGAATGCGTATACGCCCACCTCCAGTGTCCCTCTATCTCCATCTCGGAACTCTCGACGGCGCGGGCAGGGGATTCCAGGAGTTCTATTGAGAGACCCTAATTAACCTTTGAATGGTTTTACAGAGCCTGGAGTTAAGAGTTTCCATATGCAGACCAGAGCATGCAGTCCTAAGCAGGGTCATGCAATCCCACATCCACGAACCTACTGTTGTGGAGGATTAACTCATATAATGAGGAACTGCAAGCGTATGCGAAACGTCAAAGAGCAGAGCAACGAGACTGACGCCAACAAAATCAAAGTGCTTGTTGAGCAATGAAAGCACGTCAGGGGAACGAAAAGCCCCTCGCGGACGCCGTGGTGCAATGAAGGAGCTTTCAGAGGCTAGAGCCGCAGTTGAGGACCGAGCATGGGTCGACTTCACCCTGATGTAAGCTCTTAGTAATGAGCAAGAAGTGCTAGTGATACTCGATTGTGGATGTGGAGTGGATCTGTAATCCTAGGAGACAGCACAGAAGTGCAAGCCGGTTTTTACTGGTAAGCGCAGTCC